GATCAACTGAAGAAGTTTTTTAATAATATGCGATCCTTAATTTTTTTTTTTAAAAATTTTTGTTTATGAAATTTGAGAACTTAGAAATAATAAACATTGAATTAGTTTTCTATCTGTAAACTTCGATTGTATAAATTTTGTGCACAAATGTTGTACTCTTGTTTTTTATATGAATATCAACTTTCCGGTAAGAAAATTTAAACCTTTGTTCTCAGAACATTTCTTCTTAAAGAAGTCAGATTTCTATATTTGAAATATTTTAATTTCTGCCAATTTCAACATTTTTCCTTTAAAAAAACTAGGTTCTAAAAAAGATTGAATTTTAATGATTTAATCGATAAGCAAACACAAGAAATGAAGAAATATTTTTTCAAATTAAAATTCAAGGTTACAGAAAAACTTTGTAAATGTCATTGCTTTGATTAAAAATGATGACTCACAATTGAGTGAGAAAATAAGAGCATGCTAAATTAATAGCTTCAAATTGGCTTAAGAGCAACAGAAGCATATCTGTTCATAATCGATTTTTTAGGCTCATGGGACCTCCTCAAACAAATATTTCTAGAATTGCTCAGCAACCATTGTACTACTTATTAATCTTTTTCCTTCCATCATTCTGCGAATTTTTCTGGCTTTTCGTTTAGCTCAATATTACAACAAAATTGAATGTTGTAGTAGTAAAAATTCACTTAAAAATTAGGCAGTAATTTGTTAAAATTTAATGAGTGAAATTTCAGACTCCTTTTTTACCTTACATCACTTTGACTTCGAAATCTGTTTTATTGGATTATTAAAAACAGCTTAGAAATTGGCGAATGTTGCAAAAAACTCTGATTTTGAAAATTTTTTCAATTTCAAAAAATTTTAAAAAAACCGTGGTAGTTGTTTGATTTTGAAGAGTTTTAGCGATAGATAATACGACACTCTTTATAATATTTTGATTATTTTTCTTTGCAAAATAATTAGTGCATGAATGTATGAGAATGATATCAAAATGACTGATGATTTTTATATAAGTTTAGTTTACATTCAATTTTCTATCCAATTTTAGTAGAATCAAAATCAACAATTTTCATCTAAATTTAACATAAATTCAATAGTTTGCTCAATTTTATTGAAATAAAAATGATCAAAATGATTCTGATATTAATTTTAAGTCAAATTTTAAAATTAAAGATCGAATATCATTGAACTATAAAGCACAATAATTAAATGTCATTGCTATCCCATAATTTCGTGATCTGTCTATTTTTCTCCTTGTTATCTTTCCCTTCTCTCAAATAAATTACCGTTTATAAAAGTAGATATTTTGTGGAAAAATGGTAACTCTCAGACGACCTTGAAGTGAGACAGCAATGAAATACCCAAATGGTATCCTTTATGGCATTTTTTTTTGCTTAATTTTAAAATCGATTTCAGTTTATACATTTATAGTCAAATGAAATCGTTTCTAAGATCTGTCTCTTTTTACTATAATGGTTTCAATTATTTTTCTTTTCTTTCTTCCATTTCATTGTCAGCAATAGTAATGACAATAATTATATACACCCAGCAGGAATGCAAATATTTAGCTTAACGAAAAAAATATTCGGTTTTTTTTATTATGCGTAGTCGTAATAAATCTATAATCTATACTTTTTATTCATTTATCCTATAAATATAAACATTGAGTTAAAAATGAAATAAAAGTCTGAAATATTGTCGATGAAAATAAAAAAAAATTTAATTATGAATTAATATGATAAATTCAGGATCGAAAATGATAGAATGATGTCAATTATATAAAGTCGATATCTTCGATCTCAAAGCTTCTTCAAAATTTAATTATAGTTAATTAAAGTACTGTTTTAGAAGATGAACTGAATAACTTGAATTGAATGATTCAAATAAGATATTTCAAAATTTAAGTAAAGATTTTTCTATTTTTTTTCTTATGACATGTTTAATTTTTGCGCCTTATCTAAAATAGAATTGCTACCTCAGAAACACCAAAGTTTATTTATTATGAACTATAATAGAAGCAAAGAAAAAAGAGAGAAATTAAAATGATAGCGATCAAACATATTAAATATGAAAATCGTTAATTGAGTAAACAAATGGATAAAATTTAACAAAATTTCATCGTAAATGAATGAGTCATTTCATTTCATTAGTATTTTAATCTAATTTTAGACACTGTTATTCAAATAATTCATTCAAACTGTCGGTCGGTTAGTATTCTGTTTAATGATATCCATTTTGATTAGGAACACCTGCTACACAGCTTCCACATTAAGCCATCTTCCTCCTGCAACGGCTTTCCAGTCTTTTTAGCTAAAATCTATGTAAATCTTCTGTTGAACAAAAAGCTGACTTATATATTGTTCCGTTGCTTTTTTTTTTTGGAAAGAGTGGAGAGTGAAATAGATGATTAAAGTGTAACAATTCAGGTGTGATGTTAAACTAGATTTGATGAAAAAGTAATAAAAGCAGTAATAGGATTGTAAGTTTGTTAGAAGCTGCGTTAGAAAATTCCGTAAAACATTTTATCGAAGAAATTATAGCTATTTATATCAATATATTAAAGCAAACTTCCTAGACTTTCCTAATTTCGGAATTTTTTAGCAAATTTCATTAATTTCTGTGAAGAATAAGTGGAAGAAAGAGAAATAAAAGGATGGAATTGTGAAGATTTAAATTTGGTATGCATTACGTTTTTGCATTTTGAACTCAATGATATTCGGTTGGCGATTGCTTTAATTTTAATTTTCCATTCTGCGATAAAACTGGCTCCATTACGACGAAATTCTATAACTTCAGACCAGGTAATATGTGCTGCAAATGATGGGAACAAATGTATTTATTTATTGTTCGATTCACAAAATGTTTTTTTTTATGGATGAATTTTTTCTGAAGTCCTTGTATGATTCAGTGTTAAAGAAAGCATCAGAAGGTCATCATCATGCGGTCGTGTCATCATTTTTTCCAAAGCTTTAACTTGTTTTAATTGTCGCATTATTAGCTTTAGCTAATAATACAGTGGTGTTATAGTAGCTATTCCCATTTCTCATAAATTAATTGCCATAAATAAATTCCATGAATATTCAGTAAATTTCAATCAAGTTATTAGTTTTTGCACACTCTTTTAAATGTTAGTTGAATGTGCAAAAAGCTGTTATCAAAGCTTGTAGATTTGATGGACAAAAAAATTATCCCATTTTAATGATGATAAAGTTTCGGTGGATTAATATGAAGAAAAAAAATAAAAAATAAGGACATACCAAACAAACGTTAACTTTCGAAATTACAATTATACAAATTTGTCAACAAAATGCTTTATCATAATAATTATCTACTGTAGTTTTAAATAATAAAAATTCATAAAATGCAAAATTTTAATGAAATACATCAAGTGCTACGATTATTTTAGTCATAACAGCTAATCCCTTTCACGAATCAAATCTCTGGCATAAAGTGAACTTTTCATTTATGAATTTTATCTGACTCAATTTACGAATAAAAATTTCAGCTTGATTCTCTGTTCTTTATTTGTTTGTTCAGCTGTAAATTATATTAATTCTCTTCTCGTCATCATGTATATTTTTATTTTTGTTCTCTCGCTGTGTGCTAATAATGATTTTCCCGTATGTTTGACTTTTGCAAATGAATTTGCGTAGGTGACATACAAATGGTTAAGTTAAAGGAAAAGAAAGAAGATTGATTATACAGATAACTAAGGCGTGCATTTTCCACGTAGCTATCAAAATACCAAATAATTTCAATAACAATTAATTGGGTTTTAATTAGAATCTTCTATCAATCTTCAATGAATAAAAATATTCACCATTTTTGAATGAAATTTTTGTAAAATTGGGCATAAAAATTTTAAAAATTAGCTAAAACGGAAAAAATTTCCCTTTCTCTGCTCTTTAACTCTCATCATTTCAGATTATTTATGCAAAACTAATACCACCGGAAATGCTTTAAATGGCAAAGTTGAAATCGCTCAGTGCATTTGTAATCGTTTCATTGTGCTTATGCAAGCAAAAACAGTTTCAACACGGGTGAATAGAATAGAGAGAAATGCAAAGAGGTGGAAAATGTTCATTCAGCTGGTAGGATATGGTATTTCGTTGGTGGAAAAAATGGTATTGTTGTTGTTGGTAGGAATAATAGTAATATGTGAAATACTGATAAACGATCAATCAGTTAAGTCATGATAGAAGCAAAGATGAAAAGGAAATTATTGAGAATTGAAATTCAGTCCAAATTTTTGTGAATTTTTAAGGAAAAGAAATTTTATTAAAATTTTCAAATTTATTTGAATTTTACTGTAGTTTATTAACATTCATTAACGTTCACTTCTTTTCATTACAATGGTTGGAATATTTTGTTATATAATGGAAATTAGTTTGACAACAACTGCCAACGAATGCTGCTGCATTTCAAAAGATCAAAATTGAAGCTTATTTATATTTCACGTTTCCTTTTTTTTCTTTTTCATTTTAATCTATTTCATTCTAACCTTTGTTATCAAATTAGCTTAATCATTCATTATTTTTATTTTTTCGGACAAAACCTGTAATTGAAAATGGAACATTTTCATAGATGATTCGGAGAGGATTTTTTTAATTTTAAGTGAATTTTATTGTCTAATAAATATTTTTCAGTGATTCGAATTTGTGGATCTATCTTAAGTTTTGTTTGCAAAATTTTGAATGAAAAAAACATTTTTTTGTCGCAGAATTTGGAAATTTTATTAGCTTGATGCTTTTCTCAGCTCTATTGTAGAAGGAAATGCAAATTCAGCACGCCAATACAATGTTTCCTCATTTGATTTTTTCCTTTTTTGCTGCTATTGTCCATGAATTTTGATCTCTTAACCGGAAAGAGCGATGCCTTAACAAATCCAATATGATAAATTACATTCGTACATTTCGCCCGCTTGTTGCCATTTTTAGAATTTTAGTAACAATTTTAAAAACTTCCAATTTGCCTTATTTCAATCACAACTTCAGAAAATGAGACAAGCTCTGTGCACGGTTGTCGGCATTTATTCGTGTTCATTTTTCGCCGTTCAAGCTGGTAATACTTAAATATAACCTTCAGTCTCTTTTAATCTTAATTCAAATCTCACTTTAGATAAAAGAACCGTTATATTTTGTGATTCATTTAGACTTCGGAAATAATTATCTCAACTAATTGAGTATCCACTAAAATTATTGGATTTTTGTAAATTTTGTTAGGAATAGTGGTGATATTAAATTTACAAAATATCTTCCACTAAAAATGTAACAGTACCGGAAATTCTGAAATGAAGGAATGAGTCATAATTAAAGACTTTTTGAATGTGCAGAACGAGTTCAGTGCGGTGGTGTGATAGCATTCGAAGCAAGACGACATGTGGAAGCATATGTATGTCCGACAAAATTTCATCGTGAAACAGAGAATCGATGCTGCAATCCACCTAAATTTAATTGTTGTCGTGAACCAACATTTTTCGAAAATCAGTGGGTACATTTGTTTCTTGTTAGCAGTATCGAGATAATGGTACTCTTCACCCCAATAATAATAATAGTGATAAGAAGATAAGTGAGCAAAATAGAGATTAAAGTTAAATTAGAACATTCAAATTGAGAAATTTCAACCTAAAAAGAAAGGATAATATATGATAGGACTTCAAATATCAGAATAATATGATTAATATTAATCTATTTTGTCTCAAAAAAAAACTCAAAAAACATAAAGTTTTGATCTGAGATGGTGTATATATAATGTATGCTTTGTGTTGGTTTTGTGATGTGGACAATCATAGAACACTGTCGAGGTCTGATGTTTAAGCGAAATATGTTCGATTCAACGATCCTTTACTGAGATCATGAAGGAATGAAAAATGAAAAGTTTATCAATAAGCTGTGCAATGAATTTATGAATACATTGAAATAACACCGAAAAAACATATCAATTTGATAAATGAGAAAGCGAAGAAGGCATAATCTTCTAAAATTGATATCTCAAAATTTTTTGGCTTATTTTTCTTATATCGAAGAGTTAGGTAAGAGGAAAGAAAAAAAGTAAAACGAATTATTTGAACGTATCGAATTCTTTAACTAATTTTGAGTACTTCCTAAAAGTGTTTAGTTTATTTGGTTTTACATTTTCAAATGTAATCCTTATCTTACTGAAAATTTTAGCTTGACGACGATCCTATCCACTGTATTAATTGTTAGTTTTGCCTTACTAACAACATTTATCACAATCTGCCTTTGTTGGGAGAAATGTCTGCTGCACAAAATTATCCGAAGGAAACCAACGGTTGATTATATCGGTTGGTCTTTTAGAATAAATTTTATCACATTGGTTAGTTTGTCTTCCTAGTGATAACGGTACCATATAACTGATATGTTCAGATATATTTTCTGTTGTTCCGGAATTCTACTGTTTCGGAATTAAATTAGCCATCTTCATAACTTTTAGAGTGTAAATAAGCGGTGAAAAAATTAGATCGGCAGTAATGCCAGCAATGATGATTTTTGTGTTCATAATGTTTGTTATATTATAGCTCGACCGGAAGAAACGGAATATCTAAATGGTTTGAGCTTGCCAAACGAGTACTGCAGTGAAAGGCATGCCTATGAAGTGAATGCAGATATCGTCTATCGACCTAACAAAGATCCCTTATGAAGATTGCATTTTGTGTTTGTCATAATTTTTTTTTGTTCCAAAAAGAAATAATTCAGTGATAATTTTTAGAGAAGATATTTGTTTGCAAATTAGTGCTGAATTCTTAACAGAATTTTGTTACATCTGTGACACTTTAGAGATTATTAATTGTTTAGAAAATTAATTATCAAATTAACAGAGAGTTATGATAATCTTTATATTTACCACTTTTCTCTGTCACTTATGATGTGACTCGTATTAATTAAATTTTTCTCATGATTTTCATATGCCTTTGTCTAATTTAAGCTTCATATAGATAATTTTTTTGGTAGAAAATTTTTATGAAGAATTGTAGGAACTTCTACGAAGATTTCAACTTTAAAATCTTAAAGTTTTTGAAAAATACTCAGGTAATGAGATATTACTCGGGTAATGGGGTATTACCTATTTATCGAAAAAAATGACAAATTTTCCAATCCTAAAAAAAATGACAAATTTTTTGATATGCCTTTGTATGGTAACGCAACTTAGGTGCTTAATATCGACAAACAATGAATTGTCGAGAATAGATATGTGATTAAAATATGAAATGTTTTCAATTCATACAAACGATTTGGAATCTCAGCGGATTGGAAAATTTGTCATTTTTTTCGATTAATGATTTGAATTGTGTGAGATTGAATTAATTCACCACTTACATTTTTCATTATTTTTTAAGATTCAAACAAAGTTAACTTTGGTGAGAATTTGTAACACTTTAAACTGATAATAAAATAGCTAACGTAGAATGCAGAGTAATGGTACAGAAGAAAACAGAATACCTTATAAACTATTGAATGCTTATGTCGAATGTTATCTTTCATTTCACGTCAACAAGAAAAGATAACTGGAATAAATTATCGTTGCAATTGGCAAAAAAGAAATTGGAATAAATTGAAGTTTCTTGTAAAAATTATTGCATTTATTCCATTTTTTTAAACAGTCTCAGTTCTTTTGAATTGTTTGTCACAATAATGAATAATTGCATTGTTACATGTTTTAAAACAAAATGAGACTAAAGAACTCGAAAATTCAGTTTTCACTGAACTATAGTGGATGGCTTTATTGATATTTTTAATAAGACACCAAAAAAAATAAATCGCAATTTCTTGCCAGTGAAACAGGATACATTTAAATATTATAATTTCTTGTCAATTTCATGTGATTTTAACAATTGAAGGAGTAAATAAATTGTAATAGTTGAATGATAAAAGCGGATGGATAAATATTAATTTGCGCCGTTTGCTGATGAACCCAATTGCACTCAACCAATCACATTTTCCTTCTTATTCTGAGCATTTTGTATAGTTAGTATTGTCCTCATCCACACCACAACACCATTTAAATAGCACTTCATTTACCGGTCTAAGGCAAATGTTGTCTTTTACAATATTTCCTGCAATAAAATTGTTTGTTTGCTTCATTCATTGTGATTGGACAATAAAAGAAGTAATTGGTCACTGTACCCATCATTCGTTCCATTTCATTTATAACTGTTAACTGTATTAACAATGAATAGCTTGTCAAG